CATGGTGGGACATAGTTAACTGCAGTTGGGAAACTTTATACTAAAGGATTTTGTAGCTCATTTAAAGTGGTGGTAACACCAGGAAGAATCACTGAAAGCCAATGGCTGAAATCATAATCTTTCAGAGTTCAATGATCAATTTTAAAATTTGATGCATTCACACCAAAAAGTATTCATACTCAGTTGTGCTTGCTTTCTTTATTAGAAAAGGAAGTGTTGATGAAGTCTACATCTTGACATCCATGAAGGTTGATTTGATACCATGTATCAAAACACTTGAAGTTAAGGAACTCGGGTTTTTTTTTCGAATCTGACCAGTTTATGAGCTGAGGGTTAGGGTGATAGCAACTTGAGGTTCGTTTAACACCTAACCTCAACCTCTTGATTCTAGAATCATCTCGATTGATCATATATTCCACTTCGCATGCGAACGAAGAAAACCAGCACCAACCAACGAAATCCTACAGCAGTCCTTTGCATCAGACTCGGTTCTATTGTTACACCCCCAGTTAGCAGCTGTTCTCTCCTTGTTGTCGGACTCCGTACTACAAACTGGGAGAATTTGCCCTACTGTTCAGGGAGGGCGTAGACTTGGTCTTGTAAACTGCGACCCAAACACTATCCACTATCATCATCCTAGCTCCAATCGCTCCCAATTCAACAGGGTTCAATCATCATCATATTCACATTATCATTGAACATCTGAAATCTTCAAGGTAAGCTTACAGAGTTTCATCTACACATCATCGATTGATAGAGTGCTAACAATTATTTGGTTCTTGATCTCCATACTAGCTCTTAAGCTGTGAAATCAAACGGTAATCTCCAGTTTTGATCTTTATAAATATTGGGAATTAAATATCTATTGATCGATAGCTCTTAATCTCTGGATTCAAGCGATTTGATCAACCGATCCATTTCAACTGAACCCAGACTGTCTTAACCTCTGGAATCAAACCATTCGATCAACCAATTTGTCTTTTGCTCTACTAGCTCTTAATCTCTGGAATCAAACGGATCAATCAATTGAAAAGACTTTATCTCTACTGCCTCCAAATCCAATCAAACGAATTGATCAAACGAATCGGCTTTATCTCTACTGGCTCTAAAACTCTGGAATCCAACGGTTTGTTCAATCAAAACGACTTAATCTCTACTGGCTCTAAAACTGTGGAATCCATCGGTTCAATCAAGACTTTGGAGCTTTAGAACTAAGATTTCAATCACAGCGTAAGACTTCATGAATCACACTGGCATTCAATTAGCTATTTGATGATAGCTAATATTGTATCTTTCTGGATATTTCCTGCTTACTAGGTCTGAACCGGTGTTCTCAGCTTGTGAACTTTAACATATATTAATCATATACTGGGTTCTATTTGAGAATGACTCGGTCAAGGAGTAAACAACGTAAACAAAACGCAGGTGTTAAGGTTTCGAGTTTCAAGTCAAAAACCTCGCCAAGCTACTATAAATCCAAGAACAAATATTGCAAAGAAAAAGCTCTAGGCAACTCTTACACACGTCATCATGCCAAACGAACCGATTTGAAAAGAAAACTTGTCAGGGAGCTTGGATTACCGATAGACACAAAATTTGTGTTTCGTTATAGCCTAAAGGACCAACCTGACCAACCGGAAGGTAAAACCATCACGATTCAAAGCGGAACGGTGGTTGTGATCAACAAAAAGGATCTCTCCATAGGCATGGTGGTCTGATGTACCCCATTTAAAGATATGGATAGCTCACTTAGAGAGAAATATAATCATTCTGTATCAACTACATTTCAACATGCACGTGCCAGAAATCAATGCAAGATACACTGTTCACTTCAACATGGTCAAGAAGGCAACATGAGGATGAAAATGTTATATGTGGTTGGATGGGGTGTTGTGGTTGGAGAGGTGGTTGTGAGCAAGGGAAAACGGCTGGTACATGATTGCATCTTGACGTCTTAATCTTATCCATATTTTACTAATGATTATCAATATTTTACTAATAATTATCAATATTTTACTAATAGGATGACTGATGAATGATTTTTGTATGATTTGATCTAGGCCCTTCTTGCATAAGTGCTTTTACTTCTGCAAATATTGGACGAATTCTTAGCAACAAGGAACGGATGACCCAATTCCATCAGATTTGGGATTTCTGGGCAAAATTCTTTTCATCTTTATCTCTTTGTGTCTTCAAAACAAATCTTGCCCTTGGATTCCAAGCAAACATTCCAGGTTTCGATTCCTTGGCATGGGAAGACACCCAAAATGGATTAGTTTTGCTTCAAACCTTGTTATGACCTGTGATGGCTTTGGTAACCGTTCTCATACTGATAAAGATCATACCAGATATGCTTTTAGGATGTGGGGCATGATTATTCGAGCCAGTGGGCAGCCATATGTTATGGAGGAGGGGGGTCAAGTTGGGGAGGAAAAGGTTAGGCTTGGAAAAGTGGTTGGTTCAAGATTTTGTGTGGATGATTTTGGTATCGAAGTGGACATGGGGGTTTGTAATGGTATGTATGATCTGTTATGGGATACCACAGTGTATATTTGTTCTTATGATGATTGGAAAAATAAAAGAGCTAATTTATTGTTTTTCAGATACCACATTATACTACCTCCTCAATAGCACATGATGCAGAAGGTAAAGTTATGCCACATAAGTCAAGCCAGGTCACTTCATATGGCTCTTCATGTCAAATTTCAGAATCATTGGTCCAGCGTATCAAACTATTAGGTGAAAAAAAAGGAATGAGTGATTTACAATGGAAAAATTATTGTAAAGACCAAGTTAAAACTTATGAGGAAGAATTTGAAACTGAGTATGATAAGGCTTTTGAAAAAGAGGAATTAAGACTGGAGGATCAGGCTAAGAAAAGGGAAGAACATGAAATCAAGAAGTTGTTGGCTCAAGCTAAGAAAAAGCAAAGGAATCAGAAATAAATGATACCATAAATGATACTCATAAAATCTTGTTTTTCAATATTTTCATAATTGTTATTTTTTTTGTTGAGGATTGATTCTTGTGATGAAATATCAAAATACCACAAAATTCTTATTTTGATTTACCGTCACCAGTCATCTATGGGTGAATTAGAGTCACTAATATATGACTGACATTTGAATGAAGGTCTCACATAGGTGATTACAAGGCACCCATATGTGAATTTGAATCACCTATGTGTGATTGACAAAGATGACATTCACCTGCGGGTGACAATGATTCACACTGATGTGAATCCTGCGACTGTAAATCACCAACAGCACGACCCATGAATTCACATGAGGGTGACTTGTTCACATATGGGTGACTTGCTGTCACCCACGTGTGAATTTCATCTGAGTGATTACCTATATGAAGTCACCCGTATGTGAATGAAATTCACATGTGGGTGACAATGATTCACACCGATGTGAATACTGTGACTGCAAATCACTAACAGCACAACCCATGAATTCACATGTGGGTGACAGCAAGTCACCCATATGTGAACAAGTCACCCATATGTGAATTTCATTCACATATGGGTGACTTGCTGTCACCCACATGTAAATTTCATTCACATATGGGTGACTTGCTGTCACCCACATGTGAATTTCATCTGAGTGATTACCTATATGAAGTCACCCATATGTGAATGAAATTCACATGTGGGTGACAGTAAGTCACCCATATGTGAATATGTGAATTTCATTCACATATGGGTGACTATAATGCGAATTTCATCAAAGTGATTACCTATATGAAGTCACCCATATGTGACCCATATGTGAATGAAATTCACATATGGGTGACTACGCTTTTACGTGTGGATATCACTTGCAGTCACCCATAAAGTCACACGGATGTGAGCCACATTTACATATGGGTGAATGCAAGACACATCAGTGCGACGGTAAGTCACACTGAAGTACACACATAAGCATGAACAAAGTGACAGTCACATCTATATTCACCCATATGTGACACATATTCACACTGATGTGACGTATATGTGACATATATTCACACTGATGTGACCTATAATTACATATATGTGAGTTATATGTGTTTATAGGTCACAACAGTGTGAATGTATGTCACATATACGTCACATCAGTGTGAATATGTGTCACATATGGGTGAATATAGATGTGACTGTCACTTTGTTCATGCTTATGTGTGTACTTCAGTGTGACTTACCGTCGCACTGATGTGTCTTGCATTCACCCATATGTAAATGTGGCTCACATCCGTGTGACTTTATGGGTGACTGCAAGTGATATCCACACGTAAAAGCGTAGTCACCCATATGTGAATTTCATATCAAGCTTATGGTCCCCCATCGAGCAATTCGTCAATAATATGCGTGAAAGGTAATGTGAAAGTGGAGGTGAATTAACTTTGGATCAGTCAGTCATCCAACATACAAATTTTTTCCCATCAAACAAAAACATTTGAATCATTTTGTTTTCTTCGTTTTTCATTCAATCGAGTAACTCACTATGGATCAAACACAAGCCCCTCATGGAGATCAACCTACCTCTTCAGACATTCAAGACAACGCCACCACCAATGCTGCAATCAATCTTCCTTCCCCTACTGGCGGTGGAACTTATGCAACTCGCAAAGCGGCCGAAATATACTTGAAGAATTTCGCCTTTGCCAATCACTACGCAATAACTACCCGGGATAGCAAACCATGTATTATAAAGTGGAAGTGTGCTCTAGGTCCCAATGGAAAGCAACTGCTTGCCAAACAAAACGACCCATCGCTTGTCATTCCAACTTGTCCCTTCTCTGTTGAAGTGGTCTATGATGCGGACAGCCGAAACTGGGTTATTAATGTCAAGGATCCCATGCATGATCACGGTGTCATCCCCAACCTCAAACCACCTAAGCTTCCAGATCCTAGTTCGATCAAAACCAAGAAAAGAAAGCAGAGAAGCAATACTATCCACGTTGATCTTACTCATGAATCAAATCCTCCTGACGAATACAAAATTTTGATAAATAAAATGGATTCTCTTGATCCTGATACCCGAAAAGTGCTCCTTGCAAGATTCATCCGTGATTGCGAATTGGCTAAAGCACTTGCAAAGCCAACACTTTCTGAAGATCATATAGAAATAAAGGTATGTTCAAATATATCTTCTCGGTAGAGACAAAGCTCAGTGACTGTAATATTGACTGGATTGGTTGCTGATTTCAGGGGAAAGGAACTCGAGCAACTACTCCAGAGACTTCTCCCAAAGCTAATAAGCCCAAATCATGTATTAACCCAAAGCCAAACGGACATCCAGACAAGGTCAGCAGTTTCATCCATTCAGCCTTAGATATAGTCGTTAGGTTTTTTTTGGTTTTTATCATTTGAATAAAACAATTGAACAATTATACTGTTCATCCTTTTTCTTTTGTAGCAAGCAGAACGAGGAGATCCCAAGGATTCATCTCAAGAACCCGTACAAAGCCTCATCCAACCTTCATCTCCAACACCGGAACAAAGCCTCCATCAAGGAACCTCGGCGAACATCAATCAAGGAAACTCAGTGGATGCTAATCCAGCAGTCAAAGGAACCAGCTCAGCGGAATCGAGTGAAGTTAACAAGCAAGAAACCAATCAGCAATCTCCTCCTCATTCTCAAGGTGAATCACCACTTACTTCTCAGAGTGAGAGTCAGTCACCGCGGACGACACGTGCTCAGAAGGTCTCCCAACTAACCCGTGCTGACAAAAGTAAAGAATTTCGGGTAACTCGCAAATCCACCCGTGTTACCTCTCATACTCATGAGCAAGTAAGTACTTGATCTTTCTCCTGTGGTTATTATGCGATTTCCTATACCTCTTAACACGTTTTTGATATATGATCAGCCTAACCCAAATAGGCAGAAACTGTCAGGAGAGGTAAGTGTATTTTATTTGCATACTCAAATGTGATGGCTGATGAGGGCTCCAGTATTTGCATGAAAAAATTAACCCCACAGCCAAAATCTGCACAAAAACCAAGCAAAAAGCAAAGCAAAAAAAACTCTTAAATAATTCATCAGTAGATCCGGCATTGATTGTGAGTACAAGTTGATCTCTTTTTGATGTAATTCAGTCCAGACACTGACACCAAATAACAGAAGTGGGATTTCCTGTTGACTCTGCCCAGGATCATTTATACGTTTGTCAAGAATGCCACAAATGTGAAGGGGTATGTACTGTGTGCTTTTGCTTCTGTTGCAGTTTCACTGGGTCGGGACGAGGAGGATGCATGGAAGGTGCAAGCGGAGATGGCAGCCCATGTCAACGCAAACTCAAATTGGTACCAAAAAAACTTACCAAAACTCAGTCAATCTCAAACTACGGTCAACAAAATGCTTGCAATTCTCGAATATCCTGACAAGAAAAAAGCACCTTACAAATTGTGGTACCCAATGCCAGGCGGATGTTGTGTTATAGCTAATACTTATAACCGGCCAGTGATATCAGATTCATATACAGGAGCAGTTACCGCTTGCCTTACTACACCACCATTTTTTGAACCTCCAGAGCTGGATACCGACCCCAACCCCATCATACTTGCAGTGATTCAAAAAACCCATTGTATTTTGCTTGAACTGGATTACTTATCTCCCAAGCTCCCAGCTCCCTATATACATCCAGACTGGACGAATTTAAGATCATCTGAAGCCAAAGAATGGAAAGGAATTTTTGGGGATAATATTCAGGTTTACAGACAATGGCGCAGGAAATGTAATGCAGTCACAGCTCCTGATTGTCCAAGACAATAAATCTTGGATGATGAATGATGGAATGTTTCTTTTGTTTCTTTCTGTTCCATCTTGAATATACCCTTGTAATTAGGCTAGCTGGGATTAAGATCATTAATTAAATATACTCTTGAATTGTGTTATAAGAATTCATAAGTTGAAGATTCTAAGGATTCATTTTCCTGCAACACTATAAGAACAAGAATACCTATTTGAATTGATTCATCAAAGATGTTGCCTACAGTCACATATGGGTGAATGTTATTCACATATGGGTGAATGTTATTCACATATGGGTGAATGATATTTACACATGGGTGAAGGATATTTACATATGGGTGAATGTGATTCACATATGGGTGAATGTGATTCACATATGGGTGAATGTGATTCACATATGGGTGAATGTTTCTTTCTCTTCCATCTTGAATATACCCTTGTAATCAGGCTAACTGGGATTAAGATCATTGATTAAATATACTCTTGAATTGTGTTATAAGAATTCATGAAATGAAGATTCCAAGGATTCATTTTCCTGTAACACTATAAGAACAAGAATACTTATTTGAATTGATTCATCAAAGATCTTGCCTACAGTCACATAAGGGTGAATGATATTCACATAAGGGTGAATGATATTCACATAAGGGTGAATGATATTCACATGAGTGTGAATCATATTCACATAAGTGTGAATCATATTCACATATGGGTGAATGTAATTCACATATGGGTGAATGTGATTCACATGCGGGTGAATGTGATTCACATGCGGGTGAATGTGAATCACATATGGGTAAATAGTGTTCACATATGGGTGAATGTGATTCACATATGGGTGAATGTGACTCACATATGGGTGAATGTGACCCACATATGGGTGAATGATATTTACATATGGGTGAATGTTATTCACATGCGGGTGAATGATATTTACATATGGGTAAATAGTGTTCACATCACCTGTGTCACAATAAATGAACGGACTGTATCTGTCCTAAACGTGAGTGTGCAGGCCGGATACAGTCCGCAAAACATACGCCAGACCTTATCAGACTCTTCAGACGCATCTGTGGTCAACTTTAACACCAAGTCAAATTGTCTCCCAACACGCTGTCTTCACTCCTGATTCAATAGAAACACTCATAAGTGCCATAAAGACACTTTTGAGTGGTTCAAACATTCCAAGTTGCGCCCAGACAATGATACCCAGATGCATCTGGATAGCTGCCTCCTTTGGCAAAGTGTGACTGAGCTAATCACCTGTACAGATACATCTGAGAATTTCCAACTGCCTGCCATAAGTTCAGATGCATCTCATTTTTTGAAATCTTCATGCCCAGATACATCTGGTGGGTCACGCACAAAGTGTAAGCCAGATACATCTGCAAGTGCCCAGAAGAATGAATCCAGAGGATCACACGCTTGCAGCTCCAGTCAAGACTTTTCAGGTCTGTCTGCCAGATGTATCTGCAGATGTATCTGGGACCTGACTCGGTACAGATCATTCAATCTTTGCATCGAGATCACCAGATGCAACTGACTTTTTGGACTCTTCATGCCCAGATACATCTGGTGGATCACGCACAGTCTTTTACAGAGTTTGGTGGTCTTTTGGCGCATAAGAAGGCAATTTATGGGAGGTAGGGTCCACAAGAAAGACATCATAGCATTGAATTTACAAGTCTCCACCATCTATCACAACATCGTGGAGTAGCAGCCCTAGATTATTGTAAATCTCGTCATCTTCATTGTCAGCACCTTCCTCATTGTCAGCACCTCCGTCCATCTGATCACCATTGCGTACCATCATTGCATGCGCAG